GGCTGTGTCCTCCCTCGCTGTGGTTGCTGCTGAGTGTGGCACTGCAGTCCCGATGCCCCACGAGGGTTTAGAATCACCGGGGAGGCCCCTGGCCATACCTCTGAGAGTGTGACTAGAAAGGTCAGACTGGGGAGGAAGACCAGCTGAATGCAGGCAGCGGAATCCCGTGGCCTGGTTGTCGTGGGTTGAAAAGGGGAGAAAAAGACGGCAGCACCTCCTCGGGCCCTGCCTCCCGAGTGCAGCCCCACCGTGGGCTCTGCTCTCCCATATGTCACCAGCATAGCCCCACCACAGGCAGCACCTCCTCGGGCCCTGCCTCCCGAGTGCAGCCCCACCTCAGGCTCTGCTTCCCCCCCAACACACCCCCCAGGATAGCACCACCACAGGCGGCACCTCCTCGGGCCCTGCCTCTGAGCGCAGCCCCACCGTGGGCTCTGCTCTCCCATACCTCACCAGCATAGCCCCACCACAGGCAGCACCTCCTCGGGCCCTGCCTCTGAGCGCAGCCCCACCACGGGCTCTGCTCCCCCCCCCCCCCCCCCCCCCAGCATAGCACCACCACGGGCAGCACCTCCTCGGGCCCTGCCTCTGAGCGCAGCTGCTGTGTCAGGTACTGCGCATCCCAGCAAGCTCACCTTTAAGCTGGCTGTGGCCTTGGGAAGGCGCAGAAGCCGGCCTGCTTCTTTGTGACTTCTCCCCTGAGAAGAGGAGAAGTGCCTGCTGAGACAAGAAGTGGCCCCGTGCAGGGGAAGACATTCCTCTCCAACACGGAGAAGCCTCCTTCCATTCTTTACATTTGGTCAGTTGTGTGGGCACCTCGGTCATACCAGACTAAACCCAGGGGGGGGGGGGCATGGCCTAGAAAGCACATTAGGCCTCGCCTCCTCCCTTGTAAATTTTAGCTGCAGTGTGCTTTTTTGAAATTGCACATTACCGTGTCAGAAGGCAGTTGCCCAAGAAAGCTGGGGGACGCTGCTGTCGGGACTGGGGACCCTAGAGCGCAGCACACGGTTAACTGGGCGTCCCAGAGAGGAGGGAGGTGGAGGTCCCTCCTAGGGCAACACCAGATTGTGAAGTGAGTTCACAAACCTCTGTCCTTTCTCCTAGGAGGCTGATGCTGTCTGCAACTTAATCTTATCCCTGGTTTATTACTTTTATAATTTAATGCCCCTGTCTCGAGGATCCAGGTGAGTGATGTCCTATGCTGGTTTCAAGTTGAGAACTGTTGCTGTGGCTTGTGCTTCCTGTCACAGAGACAGGCTCTAACATCTACTACAAGTCATAAGACGCTCCCGTTGTTTCCTCTAAAATCCCCCCCCCCAAAAAAAAAATAATCACGTTCTTGTTGGGCATAGTGGCACGTGCCTTTAATGCTAGCCCTGAAGAGACAGAGGCAGGTGGATCTCTGTGAGTTCGATGGTAGCCTGGTCTACATAGTGAGGCCCTTTCTCAAGAAAAACAGAAAGATCCCACCCTTGAGCAGCCATCAAGGGGATTTAGTGTAAGTCCGAGGTGGGGGACTATGTGTGCTTCTCTTACAGTGTAGAGAAAGCAGGGAGCACACCAACAGAGGAATGCGCTCAGAGAGCAGGCGTTCCTGTCCAGTCTTTACAGAGGGAAGCAGAAATATCTTCAAACAAACACACCCAGGTTCCTCTGTTAACTAAACACTTAAGGTTTTAATGAGAAGAATTCTTACGTAAGATGCTGCTTGGAGCTGGAAGGCCATAGGGAGGGTAGCATGGCGCCCGCAGGCCAGGGCTGGCTGACGTTTGCTCCGTCCCGTCCCACAGTGTCATCGCCTACTCAGTCATTGTGGGAGCGCTGATGGCCAGCGGCAAAGAAGTGTCTGGGAAGATCCCCAAGGGGAAGGTACGCTGGGCTGGCAGGGTGCACGCCGCTGCGCCACATCCTCCGTTCCCTCACACCCCATTCTCTTCTTTTCCAGTTAGTTGACTTTGAAGCTATGACAGCCCCTGGCTCAGAGGCCTTCAGCAAGATAGCAAAAAGCTGGATGAACTTGAAAAGGTAACTGTGGCTCGGCCTGGGGCAGGCTAGCTGGGGAAGGGACTCTTCCCTCCTTCCTCCTCTCTCTTCCCTCCCTCCTTCCTCTCTCCTCCCTCCTCCTTCCTTCCTCCTTTCGCCTTCCTCCTTTCTCCTCCTTCCTTTCTCCTCCCTCCTTCCTATCTCCATCCTTCCTCCTTCCTTTTCCCTCCTTTATCCTCCCTCCTCCCTCCTTCCTCCTCCCTCTTTCCTCTTTCCTCCTCCCTTCTTCCTCCTCCCTCTTCCCTCCTTCCCCCTCCCTCCTTTTGCCTTCCTCCTTTCTCCTCCCTCCTCCCTCCTTCTTTCTCACTGGGCAGAAGCCCTGCCAGAGCTGTCTCCACAGGTGAGTGCTCACTGTTACTCAGTACCCTATCTGAAGGCTGAGACACTGGCTGCAGGTGACAGTGCATGATGAGAGACATGGGGAGATAGCCCAGGAGATAAAGTGCATCTTGATGACCCAAGTTCAGATCCCCAGAGCCCAGATGAAAGGCTGGCTGGTTCTGGTAGCTCATTTGTAACTTCAGAGCTCAGAATGCAGAGACAGGACCCCAGGATCAGGGTGGCTGGCGAGGCTGGCCTGCCTCTGTGAGTTCTGGGTTCAGCAAGAGACCCTGGCTCAATAAATACAGTGAGAGTACATAAAGAAGAGTGGTCAGCCTAGGGCCAGCACATACACACACACATACACACACGTAAGCATGTAGGCACACATGTGGTAATTAATTTAAAATGAGTGATAATGAAGAAAATGGTATGTGAGTGAAGGAAAGTTTACTGGTGTCTTTTATGTAGCCAGGTTCTCCTTCTTCTCTGTCTCCCTCGCTCCCCTCTCCCTCAGTCCAGGAGTGGCTTGAAAGCATTCATTTCCCATGATCCATGTGCAGCACAAACCTAGTGTCTTGTACTCTGTGGCGCTCCAGTTCCCAGATGCTTTGTTGCTGTGTAGTCGGGGACTACCTGTGACCAGCTCCAGCAGGGACACCAATCCCGGTGTCACCGTGTGCCAGAGTCCAGAGGGCTGCCTTACAGCTCTGCCTCCGGGAGTGCTGGGGAATGTGTGTGCACTTGAGCAAGACACTGTCTGACTTGCTCCACATCCCTTCCTGCTACGTGACAACAGCCATTCTGTCGCCTGCTGGGCCCTTTGAGCTGTGTTTGAAACTGAGAAACGTGTGTCCGTCTTGTTTCCAGCTTACGAATTTACACTTGGTTTGGTGACGTGATCACAAGGTGGAGGGTCCTGTTCCCTTTACTTATGTAATTTTGGCAAGTCTTTCTACAAACCACCCTGCCACGTATTGTACGGTCATTGTTCAGGGCAAACCTCAAGGCTTGTGGGAGTTCTGAGCTTTTGTCTACAGCTGCAGATGAGGGAGACAGGGCTAAGAGAAGTGGCAGGGTCAGGAGAGGTGAGGCCCGGCCCGAGGGCAGCGCCCTCCGCCTCCAGGTTCAGCACACATGGCAGCGACAGTTGGCCGTGTCCTGGCTGAGCCTCCGAGCGGCTCCGGCCGGGACGCCACTCCTGTAGCGGGGTCTACCATGCCTTTTTCTGGCACTGTCCCTCATGAAGGAAGGGGGTCTAGAACGCTTGCCAGATGAATGCATTTTCCCAGGCCATGGCCCTCCCAGGAAGGCAGCATTGACGGTCACGGTTTCCTGTGCTTCTCTTCCAGCATCTCCCCTTCCTACAAGAGCCTGCCGTCCGTGTCAGAGACGTTCCCCACCCTGCGGTCCATGATCGAGGTGCTGAACACAGACCCCGCCCCGCGGTGTGTGAAGAAGCTCTAGCTGCACTAGAGGACTTGCACACGTGCAGGGCCGGGCCTCTCGCTCCTTAAGTTATTTTTTAAAACATGGAGTTATTATGGAATTAGGTCCTTTATTACTTTTGATACCAATTTTTGATAGGAATTGAATACTTGAAGACACTTTTCTTTCCTTTTTCTGAACAGTAACAGAAATCATGAAAACGGGTTTTTGGGGGAAAAGCTACTTGACCAGGAAGGGAAGTGTGCGTATTGATGGCCGCCTGCTGGTGCCCATGTGTTAAGACTGCTCCTTCCTTACAGTGGAAGATGTTTACTTCAAAAACCAAAAATTAATAATTAAGCCGAACAAAAGTGACGACAAGCAGGGCTTGTCTCCGCTCGTCAGAGTGTGGGTGTTCCCAGACGTCCTTCCTGTGCACCTTGTGGGGTGCCTCGCTGCTGCCGTGCCCCCCCCCCCCCGAACTGTGGAAGGGCCTGGCACCCGCACTTCCATGGCTTGAGACAGTATTTGCCAATGTCCCTACACTGAATCACTGAACCGCGTTTTCCTTGTTGGAAAAATAAGCTGAGGTGATTTCTGTAGGTCGCCAAGTTTGGGCACTGGATTATTTGTTTTTACGTGTGAGCTAGTTTTGCTTTCAGGTATAAGAACATTTAGAACGTTTCTTGTTTTCTCAGACAGGCTGAATGATGGAGTAAGAAGGTCCATTAAACCGCTGCAGTTTCAAATCACGGGCAGTGTCTGTATCTTTGCTGCTGCCGTTGCGGCTTTTTTGCCTTGTTTTATTCCTGTACCTGCCTAGATGCTGGAGGTGGTACCCAGGGCGTCACATTCCAGGAAAACCCTCGGCTGCTCAGCCTCCATGTTAGTATCTGCCTTGAACTTCTGGTAAAAGCAGGGCACCGTGGCAGGCACGGTGCCTTGGCCATCACTGAGTGAGGGGATCTCTGGGGGGCCTCTGGAGGACCCACCCTCGCCACCCATAGTCAGCAGTCCCAGAGACGTGGCTAGAGGTAGAGCACTGAGTCAGCAGACCCCACTCTCCTTCGCTGAGGCTGCACCGTGACAGGGAGGGTCCCCTC